TATTTCAACTTTCTTGACCAATCAGAATGCTTAAACTAATAGCCCTACTAATTCTTGCGTTTGGGTTTTCCAAACGTTCGTTGGACAAAGTGCCGTAGGTGTTCTTAAACAAAGAAAAAGAAAGAGATTATATTATACGCTCTGTATAATAATCTCTTCACAAACCTACTTACCTGTGCAAATAAAGTTAAGTGGTAAGTGGAGACATTAGCCAAGCAGGAAGTTCCAGAGATTAAAAGACTCAACAAGGAAGTGTGCACTTCATGTTTTATTTTGTTCTATGCAAACTCAACAGTTGTGTGAAGAGTGAGTGATTAGATATTTATTTACACGACCATAACAACAATATTACAACGAGGGCCTGTAAAATGATACAATTTAGGTATCCTGTCAGATAGATCGTTAGATAAAGAGAATATGTTTGTTTCGGCCTACTTTACCTCAGAGGTGTAGCGAGGGGGGGGGGGGGGGGCGGGGGGGGACATATGTCCCCGGGCGCCGACCTTAGGGGGGGCGCCAAATTGAATGTTTGAGGGGGGGGGTGCAAATCGAAAACTTGCTCCCGAGGGGGGCGCCAAATTGAAAGTATGTCCCCGGGCGCCGGGAAGGGTCGCTACGCCTCTGCTTAACCTTATAACTTAAATATATGCCACGTAAGTGTATGTGTTTTAGCTTTCATCACTGCAGACTTAAGAAAAACGATGTTTATCTTTAGTCTGTTAATAATACAGTTGGATAGTGCGTTTACGTCATGCTACGACCATCACTCCCATGTAATAATAGTCGATTCGCACATACATGGATTTGAAAATATAGAAAACTGCTCTCATGTTGATACAGAAACATTAATGAAATGGTCGCGTTGATACACAAGCGCATGCATATACTCATGCACATAAACATGCACATACCCGTACCCGTACCCGTACCCGTACCCGTACCCGTACCCGTACCCGTACCCGTACCCGTACCCGTACCCGTACCCGTACCCGTACCCGTACCCGTACCCGTACCCGTACCCGTACCCGTACCCGTACCCGTACCCGTACCCGTACCCGTACCCGTACCCGTACCCGTACCCGTACACGTACACGTACACGTACACGTACACGTACACGTACACGTACACGTACACGTACACGTACACGTACACGTACACGTACACGTACACGTACACGTACACGTACACGTACACGTACACGTACACGTACACGTACACGTACACGTACACTTCAAGAAGATTAAGCACCTGGGTTTTTCGTTTTAGGAAGTTGTAAAAAAACGTTTTTTTTCTCAAAAACTCGATTTGGATTCCTAACGCAATTACAATATTCCCTCATACTTTACTTACGAAAAAGTACAGTGTGATATAAAACAAATAATGTGTTAAACACGTTTACCCAAGCTCAGATTGAGTAACGTAACCCTTGGAAACTGGCTAGAATTACGTCTGGTATGCCCCATTTTTCTTTGTTGAGCAAAGGATAATGTTCACGATCCCCAACACCAACACACGAGTGTGTACTTCTGTACAAAACGTACAAGAATAAACCCAACGACGTAGTCAACAACACCATTATCTATTGACAAGTGAATAGGAATGATCGATCAAACCTTCCCTTTCTAAATGTATGTCAAGTGTTAATTTCGTTTGTTTTGTTTGCACGACTGCTAGGGTGCTGGCGTACTTCCTTTAACGCTAATACAATCTTAAACATATTTGAAGGGACTGTGTGTTTAGTAGTAGAGCCCTAGACTACTAATCCATAACTCTAAAGTTTGAATCCGGGTTCAGGTCAGTAGAACATCCCTGAGTCCGCCCTGCTAGGGTGGTTTTCTTTTATTGTAAATGTATTAGAGACCATTTTGTCATATGAGTGGGGGCGATGTAGTCTTTGACATGGTCGGGTACACTTGAAACTTACGGGAAGTGGGGGTACTTGTAGAAGTATATATTTTCTATATAGGCCTAAAGTATTTTTAAAATTACATTCGAAGGGAGGGGGGGGGGTGACAGTGGACTATCTCCAGGGGAATTGGTGGGTAATGCACCTTCTTCAAAGAGAAACCTGAAAGACAATGGCACCCACACAACCTGCACTAGAAAAGGTCTCCCATTTTTGAGTTAAGAATATGGTTGAATAGAGAACCAAGGTTATGGATAGATTTGTGGATGTTCTGGAGTTAGTGACTGTTCTGGTTCAAATTATAAATATATTAATTATATTTATAATTAAAGGGGTTAATGATTGGCTGTAGGAAGGGAAGGGGCGGGGTGCCTGCATTGTGCTATTAAAAAATTAGTGCGTTGTATTGATGGCATTATAATTAGCTCAAATTGCGTTACATAATTTAATGTAAAACTAACCTACAAACAAAAAAATCGACGGATATTGTGAGTGTAAAATGACTTTAAAAAAGAATTAGGTTACAGGTATGTCGTATATGTGTGTGTACTTGTATTTGTTTCAGTGACAAAAAGACATGCTATGTCTAAAATGTTGTATCAAATCATTTGAATGCAAACATTTTGGTAACCAATATTGGCATTCAGAGGTATAGCGAGGGCGGGGTGGGGTGTGCGGACCGCACCGGGTGACACTTTATAAAGGGGTGACACCAAGCCAAAAAATTGCAAAACTAAAAAGAAGAAAAATGCTTTATTCGCCATAAATAGTCTTTTAAGTACAAATCGACTAAAACGCGTTTTCCAACTGTATTATTAACAGACTAAAGATAAAAATCGTTATTCTTAAGTCTGCAGTAATTAAAGCTAATACACAAGTTATAAGAATATGTAGTCCGAAAAACACAGATTATTATATATATATATATATATATATATATATATATATATATATATATATATATATATATATATATATATATATATATATATATATATATATATATATATATATATATATATATATATATATATATATAAAAATATATATATATATATATATATATGTATGTATGTATGTATGTATATATGTATGTATATATATATGTATATTAATATATATATATATATATATATATATATATATATATATATATATATATATATATATAGCCTATACACACATATATATATATATATATATATATATATATATATATATATATATATATATATATATATATATATATATATATATATATATATATATATATATATAATACACACAATTTATATATATATATATATATATATATATATATATATATATATATATATATATATATATATATATATATATATATATATATATATATACTTTGTGACTTGGGGTTGTAACACCATGAAGTGCCGCACCGTGTGACACCCGACCTAGCGACGCCTCTGTTGGCATCTTGGATTTAACACGGTATAAAGCGAGGTAATCATTTTGATCCTATTGAAATGTGTCTAACCCTATATAATTCCAGAACGTCAAAACAATGGCACTCTCATTAATTTTGAATATCAATCAATACGGTTTCTTTGTTTACATCAAGAAGATCGCAACACGATTGCATAGTCTGGTAGAAAAAAAGGACTAGGCGATCTACCTTATCTGTTTTGTTTCTGCACTATAATATCCTCACCCTATACAATACGTTTGGTTTGATCGCTCACCCAACATCACTATCTAGATCATGTGTGATCACGTGCCCTTGTTAAAGAAAAGTGTGCATTGGAGAGGTTCTCAAAGAAAGAAAAAATGAGTTAGAGATCTAAATTCATTTTAGGGTTTCTTGTACAAGGGTTTAACGAAGTTGATTTTAACAAACAAAAAAAAAATGAGTTAGAGGTATAAATACATTTTAGGGTTTCTTGTACAAGGATTTAACGAAGTTGATTTTAACACACAAAAAAGGAGTTAGAGATTTAAGTTCATTTTAGGGTTTCATGTACAAGGGTTTAACGAAGTTGATTTTAACATTAAAAAACATTTTAAAATATATATTTGTCACATAAAGCAATTATTTCTAAAACGTGGATATACACGTAATCTAAAAAGGCTGTCTTACGAACCAAAATAATACTTTTGATTAGGACAATTTCTTAGAATATAATTTCATAGGAACACGAGAAACAATTAAAAATGTCGCTATTTGCCGACCACTTGACGGTTGAAATTGTATGTCTATAAATACAATTATATAAACCAAAAAAATCCGATATGTTCTGCCTAATTCCCATTTCAACCTCATGCGCACACGCAAACACATACACATACACAAAAACGATCACATCTCAGTTTTACGTAAAAATGATAAAACGACTTACGGTTTTAAACGTTAACAAAAAATTTCAGGCATAAGCATATGTCAAACAAAATAATAATGTAAAGCTGGTAGTTATTACAAAGCAAATTACTGACTTCATTAGTCGATTTCACCCTTTAAAAATAATAGTTATTTTATTGATATAAATATAGGCATTTTAAATTTTTTCATTTCGATCTTCCAACGTTACTTAACAGTTGGAGAAAAAAAACCGGTAAGCCTTGAAATATTGATCAAGGTTTTTTGGTTTGATGCAAACTTTAGATTGTTATCACCACTTGAAAGAGGCGAGTCGTGGTAGAGGAAACAAGGAAGGGTCTAAAATGATTCTTTGCTTCCTTTTATTCGTTCATATGGGGTACTCACTAGCTGATAATCAAGGTATATATTTAAGTAAATTATTTATCATTTACTTTTATAACTAATATTTAAAAAGGAAATTCGAATTAAAACTAACGTGATCGTATGTAGTTGAGATACTTTTACACAATTGTTAGGCTGTAGTAGCGACTAAATTTATAAAAGGTATATATATATATATGTATATATAAATATAAATATAAATATATATATATATATATATATATATATATATATATATATATATATATATATATATATATATATATATATATATATATATATATAAAGTGTATAATTATGTGTCTTAAGATCATATTATACAAGGCAAATTTTCCCTGATCAACCAAACGGAATGGACGATGTTGGAACTCAACTCAACATTCGATGATGTGAGACACTTCTCTTGTGTCTCGCTGTGTCTCAGGGCAAACAAGACATGTTACAGCTATATGTTTAACGAGACATCGAGAGAATGCCATTTGGGTAGGTTCATAACATAGAGATTTATAGCATTATACACATTGTTTTATCATAGCGTTACTTGATATATTTTTCAATAATAATAATATAAATCAATATATACATACATATATATATATATATGTTACGGTCAAAGCCCGAAGTGCGGCCAATGCTAGGATTGGCCGGCCAATCCGCACATTGGCCGGCTCTCTTGGCCAAAGCCCGAAGAACTTAGCACTAAGATCGTATTTCGTACATTGGCCGGCCAATGCGCGCACTGGCCGGGACGTACTGGCCAAAGTCCGAAGCGCTTAAACTTGACAGCGTATTTTGTACATTGGCCGGCCAATGCGCGCACTGGCCGGTATGTCCTGGCCAATGTTCTATCTAGACTAAGATCGCATTTTCATTATGCTGGGTGCGTTTTCATTGAGAGTAACGTATTGTTTAGCTCTTGTTTATATAGCATTCTATATGCAAGGCGACATGGATCAAAAGGGCCGTCAGACCATGAGACAGACATAGCAGATGGCTGTCAAAAGAAAAAAAATGTAAATCCATGTTAGTTTCCATATATGGGCTCTCGATAAAATAGTTACTGAGGAAGATCTTGAGAACATTGAACAAGAAATGGAGGTTGCCATAAATGCAACGACATCCTCAGCTAACACATCTACTGCCGTGGCGGAACGTCCAGACCAGTTGCGTGACAATTATGTGGCCAACAGATTCTGTATAGTTTGTGAAAAACATTGTAGTGCAGCTCATTCTTTTGGATCCTGTGGCAACGATGTCCATGCTATTTGTGGAATACCCAATGAAGCAGACGAAGGATACGGAGGGAACATTACCTTCAGATTGTGTCACAACAAACAAGACATCATGGAACACAGGTCAGCAGCTCTTACTAGCTTGCAAACTCAAGGTGCTAAGATGCTTAAAACATCAAATACAAAATTTAAAGATGGTGAAGTGGGTGACAATGTACGCATCCGTTTTCCAGATGTTGACAGAGGTCACGGTGATCCCCGAAGCGTGATTGCAGTTGTCATGAGCGTCGAGGGCGGTTTCTAGAAATTAGGAACGGCACATGGTGTTCTAAAACAACTATATGCTAAAAGTGAGTTTTCAATTCTTCACGAAAAACTGCTCTTATTGTCGTCAGTTGGCACCGAGGAAAAATCACTACGAACCATCGCATCTTCACAATCATTGACTGGGGGCCAAGGCTACACTCGCTGCAATTGCACAATTAAGTGCACAACAAATCGCTGCAAGTGTAAAAATAACAAGCTGCTATGTAATTCTAAATGCCATAAAAGTTCAACTTGTTGTAACAAATGATGATATTGATAGATTGAGACTATAGGTCAATAAAAAATTTGAATGTTTCTGTCATTTACTTTAATTAATAATCAATAAAGACTTAATTTCATGATCCTTACGGCATAAAAAAAAACCAAAATCTGCTCATGATCTTCTAATTCAAACTTTGGCCGGTCGTCCCTAGCCAGATGATCTTCTTATAAAAGATTGGCCGGCCAAAGGCCGAAATCAAGCAAAGTTTCGGACTTTGACCGACCTATGGGAGGCGATATTGGCCAATGCGCGGATTGGCCGGCCAATCCTAGCATTGGCCGACTTCGGGCTTTGACCGTAACATATATATATATATATATATATATATATATATATATATATATATATATATATATATATATATATATATAGATGAATATTTAGATATAGTCTATTCTGTATGTACCATCAGGCTCCTGGGTTGTCCCATCTCGTACTTTAAACAGCACCATACAGGGAAAACTTTACTCAGTTGGCAAATACTGCAACACAAACAAAACAGTTTCCTTACAACCTGACGGCAATCTATCCAAATGTGACATTTGCTCTTGTACAGGTAATCCCTTATGGTTAATTATTTCAGTCATCTATTGTAACGTTTTTTATTTTCATTTTTTTGTGTAGTTAATCAATCATGAAAGTAATAGATAGTGTGATGTTAAATATAATTTCAAGTAAAACTTGTACTTAATATATTACCTACCTTATCCTACGAATAACAATTTACATGGACCACTGTTGCTAATGTGTTATCCTAAATACTATGAAAACACTCCTTTACGCCGGAGCAAAAAAAAAAAAATGAGATCTGACAATTTGTTGTATTTTCTTTTTATTTTAATTAAATATTATTCTTTTACAAAAAAATAAAAACACGGTTCTATATATTTTGGGAACTTCTTAACCGCTAAATGCGATATTAAGTGTCGGAAGCTGCACATCGCGATACTTTGTTGCAGAAGTGTCGTGGACTTATCATAGAGAAAAAAAATATATGTTACATACGTCAACGATAAATCATTGCTTCTTAATTTATGTTCGATAGAATATACGAATTAATACTTATGACAATGTTGGCTGTAATGAAAAAAACCGTAAAGTATCCCCTTAATGATATGATCAGCACTTTGCTAAGCCGCCTTTACTTTACCTACAATCAGTCAGGTACCCCTACGTGTTGGGTGGACTAAAGATCATTCTGTTGACTTAGACTTAGAAGGTAAATTCAAGTTTTAATCCGTGTCGTTTTCTATTATTACAGGCGATTGCCTAAGTCTTGGTAAACTTGATGTCCTTGGCCCTGTGACGTCACCAGTCTACGAGTCCTGCCGGGATGTTGTGACCTCTGACCCCCGACCTGTGGTGACACTTACATCCGGGCTAGTCGTCATGTGTGACACAGTCTCTGACGGCGGTGGATGGACCATCTTCCAAAGACGTTTTTCCCCACTTTTAAGTTTTAACCGTGGCTGGGACGAATACAAATACGGGTTTGGTAACGCATCGATGGGGGAATTTTATTTGGGGAATGAAAATATCTATTTCCTTATGACTCAAAAGAAATACGAACTAAGAATAGATTTCACTGACGATGTTAATAAAACATACGTCGCCAAGTATTCCAGCTTTCAAATTTTATCTGAATGTAACAACTACAGACTGTTAATAAGTGGGTACTCTGGCAACTATAGGGACAGCCTGCCCGCTCATAACAACATGAGTTTTAGCACGTATGACAGGGACAACGACATATCAAGCGGCAACTGCGCTCAGAGTTTTCATAGCGGGTTCTGGTTCTTTAATTGCTTGAATGCAAACCTGAATGGCGTGTATGGGAACTGGTTTGTCGATGGGATTTACTGGGACTACGTCAATAAAATTTACTTCACTGAGATGAAGATGAGAGCTAAAATTTAGAACGTTATTTAAACAGGGCTAATGCAGTTCAGTGTTAAGAACTGTATAGTTAATTTATTCTTCTTTTATTTCTTTTTCTTCGATCTTAATTTTTAGGGTTGGCGGGAATACCCTCCAACCCAATTAAGTATACGTGTCAACTGGCTTTGCGCCATGTGACGGTAATGTTTTCCTACCACCATCGTTGTTACAACCTCCACTCTACTTGATCTCCGCCTTTTCCTCCCCTCTTTTCTACCCTCCCCCCCCCCGGTCAGCTGGAATCCCAGGACCGTTAGACTGTTCAGTCGCTAGTTCTACATTGTGACTCATTCCAAGCCGAAAAGGCTTAAGGGACAGGCCGTCACCGGTGCGATAAAAGGGCCGGTAACAGATTAACTTTTTACTGTGATCACTACCCTTGCTCAGCGCACCTGCACTCTAAACCCCAACCCCAAGTAGTTATCGCTTCTAAAAAAAAGGTATTTGATTATTTTAAGAAACTAGAAATCTATAATATTGGTCTTTAGTGTCATTTTTTTTAAATTGTCAGCATTTGATGTATTTTACTATATCTATAGTGTTGTAATTTTCCCTCATCTTGAGTTGTATTTAAATATTATAATCTCTTTGCTATATCCAACATCATTGTTCTATCCTACACATGTAAAGTTAGTTATGTTGTTTATGTTAGCAATATTTAGTAGGCCATGACTTCTATTTACAGCGTCCATCGGGGACCAATCCATTCCAATGCTAATGACAAGCCAAGAGCATATGTACGCGATGGAATCCAAAGCTATTATAAAGTTATGTAGATTCTATATGTATAAAAAAATTATAACTAAGGTAACACTTATTAAGTACAAAAATATGTAATAAATCTATTTCCTAATGGGTTATTCTTTTGCTACAAGATAAATGGCCCGTTGAGGGTGAAATACAACGGGCGCTAGGTTGATAGTGTTGTCTTTTTCCCTAATTAGATTAAACCGGAAACGAAAAATGTCATTGAAAACTGATTTGTATCCAGAATCGACATTTTAATCGTATTTAAGCTTAATCTAGCGTTCCCAACAGATGGAAAGATACATACATAGACAGCGAAACTATTATTATAGATCAGTTGTACTGTATTCACGGTAGAGGGGGGGGGGGGGCTTAGACCCTCTAAAAGTTGAAATATATATATTTATTTTTACGGTTAACACGCCATTGTGGCAATTGACTCCGATTTCAGCCTGCTTTTTTTTGGAATTGGTTCCATAGCCTTTTGTCCAACCAAGAACAAATTACAAGGCAGCAGTTGTTTGATTTTGGAGTTGTCTCTCCTAGAAGAGTGGCTGTCCATAGCTAACGAGTCTCATCTTCCCGATGTTTCAACTCGAGACTCTTCGGTTTAGCAACCATGAGCTTTACCTACTCGACGACACCGACGCCTATTAATTTATTGTAGATTATGTTCTCTACCATTTGATCTCGTGATGTTGTTGTTATTTGTTTTCTTTTAATTATATCCTCTATGCACTATTTTGTGTATATAATTTTTCATTAAAAATATTTTTTCTCTGTATAATGTACATGTCGTAACATCTATCTATATACTACTAAAACTCAACTTTGTTTACATGTTTGAATATTTATTTGTTTGCCTGATCGAAAATTGTGATATGTTCGACTCTATCTGGAAAGCTGTAAAATGGTATGCAGGTAGAGAATAATTTTTTAATGCAGACAGACTGTTGATCACAAATTTATTTAAAGACGTTAATTAATTAATTGATTTATTCATATGCAGATTAACCCATTTTTTTAAAAAAGATTTGAAAAGCCACTAGACTCGACGGAAACAGTGACGTCACATGATGTGTTTATTTTTTTACATCGATAATGGCGGCCTATCGAAGAAGATTGTGTTCCCATTCCAATGTTTAACGCGTTCTAAAGCTAATTTTCTGTCGGCTTTAACTTTAACAATACGTCCGTTTGCTGTATTTATTACGTTCCAACACTTATATCAATTTTAAACTGTCTTTTTCATTTAGTTTTACGATAAATTTCTCTAGATCTACAATCTGTCCAAGAAAGTTATTTATTTATTTATAGATTTAGATCTAGAAAATCTAGGTCAAATCAAATATTTATTGATAATAAATACAATCCAAAAAAAAAGAGACTTAAGCAAACCAGTCGTAGATCTAGAATATAGATAATTCTATCTAGATTTAGATAATAATGAGTTTCTATATACTAAACTATTTTAGACCTTTATTATTTTATATAAATCTTTTTTTGTATAGCTATGAAATATGCTAATTAGGAAATGCTGGATGCGGGGCCTATTTCCATAACTTAAGATTCATACGCGGCTTCTATACCGCTAAGTGTGCAAAATTATAGACGTAAACTCTAGATATAGCTCAGTCGTAGATCTAAAATATAGATAATTTTCTATCTAGATTTAGATAATAATGATTTTCTATATACTAAACTATTTTAGACCTTTATTATTTTATATAAATCTTTGTTTGGAATATGGTAATTTTGAAATGCTCGCTCCGGGCCTATAAGCGTAGCTAATGATTAGATCTAGATTCTAGGTCTAGCAAGAAAAACTAAACATAAGAAGACTTAAGCAAAAGAGTCGTAGAATCTAGACTAGATCTAGATAATTCTATCTAGATCTTGATAATTTCAGACCTTCTTTATTTTATATAAATCTTTGTTTGGCTAATTTAAGATAAAATTTAATTTGAAAGTTACTACTACTAGAGTTAGATGTAGATCTATGCGCGTAAGGAGACTCAAAGTATAGTATAAAACTTCACTTGTAATGTCACGAGTAAATAGCTAACTTGGTAGTGAGGTCGGCTCTCATGTGGGTGGCACAGGTTCTAGACCAATTCATCAATGATTTTTTTTCTTCAATTTTTTTTTTTAGATGTGAATAATAAAGTTGCCTATCTGAACTTGGCAAGATACAGGGCTGGTGAAGTAGAGTTTGTCTGTTTCTTTGTCCTAAGCATATGAAAGGATAGTGTGGTCAGAGACATGCTCGGCTGGAATCGTTTTTTAAACGATAAAAACATGTTGTCTGAGACTTGGCGGGACACTGGGCAGGTGAAGTAGAGTTGAGTAGGTCACCTATGAAGTCAGTATATGAAGGGATAGTCCGAAATCGGTGTTTTCGGTGTTTTTAAAAGATAAAAAACAAATTTTTGAAAGTGGGGTCTGTTTTTTTTTGACGATAAGTGACACTGCAGTAGCGTAGCGAGGAGGGGGGGGGCGGGAGGGGAGGGGAGGCGGGGGGGAGGGGGGGAAGGGGAGGTGGAGGGGGGAAGGGGGGGGGGCGGGGGGACATATGTTGGGGCGCCAAAATGGTTTGGAAAAATAAATTGAAAGGTTGAGGGGGGGGGGTTCAAATCGAAAGTTTGAGTGGGGGGGGGGGGGGGGTGCACATCAAAAGTTTGAGGGGGGGAGGTTGAAAATTGAAATCTTGGGAGGGGGGGGGGTTAAAATCGAAAAGTTTGTCCCCGGGCGCCAGGAAGGGTCGCTATGCCTCTGAGTGACAGACGTGATGTTTTTTGATGGATGACCCCCGAAACCCACAGTTATCCAACGGATGACGGGTATTCTAGTCTATATACTACTAAAACTCAACTTTGTTTACATGTTTGAATATTTATTTGTTTGCCTGATCGAAAATTGTGATATGTTCGACTCTATCTGGAAAGCTGTAAAATGGTATGCAGGTAGAGAATAATTTTTTAATGCAGACAGACTGTTGATCACAAATTTATTTAAAGACGTTAATTAATTAATTGATTTATTCATATGCAGATTAACCCATTTTTTTAAAAAAGATTTGAAAAGCCACTAGACTCGACGGAAACAGTGACGTCACATGATGTGTTTATTTTTTTACATCGATAATGGCGGCCTATCGAAGAAGATTGTGTTCCCATTCCAATGTTTAACGCGTTCTAAAGCTAATTTTCTGTCGGCTTTAACTTTAACAATACGTCCGTTTGCTGTATTTATTACGTTCCAACACTTATATCAATTTTAAACTGTCTTTTTCATTTAGTTTTACGATAAATTTCTCTAGATCTACAATCTGTCCAAGAAAGTTATTTATTTATTTATAGATTTAGATCTAGAAAATCTAGGTCAAATCAAATATTTATTGATAATAAATACAATCCAAAAAAAAAGAGACTTAAGCAAACCAGTCGTAGATCTAGAATATAGATAATTCTATCTAGATTTAGATAATAATGAGTTTCTATATACTAAACTATTTTAGACCTTTATTATTTTATATAAATCTTTTTTTGTATAGCTATGAAATATGCTAATTAGGAAATGCTGGATGCGGGGCCTATTTCCATAACTTAAGATTCATACGCGGCTTCTATACCGCTAAGTGTGCAAAATTATAGACGTAAACTCTAGATATAGCTCAGTCGTAGATCTAAAATATAGATAATTTTCTATCTAGATTTAGATAATAATGATTTTCTATATACTAAACTATTTTAGACCTTTATTATTTTATATAAATCTTTGTTTGGAATATGGTAATTTTGAAATGCTCGCTCCGGGCCTATAAGCGTAGCTAATGATTAGATCTAGATTCTAGGTCTAGCAAGAAAAACTAAACATAAGAAGACTTAAGCAAAAGAGTCGTAGAATCTAGACTAGATCTAGATAATTCTATCTAGATCTTGATAATTTCAGACCTTCTTTATTTTATATAAATCTTTGTTTGGCTAATTTAAGATAAAATTTAATTTGAAAGTTACTACTACTAGAGTTAGATGTAGATCTATGCGCGTAAGGAGACTCAAAGTATAGTATAAAACTTCACTTGTAATGTCACGAGTAAATAGCTAACTTGGTAGTGAGGTCGGCTCTCATGTGGGTGGCACAGGTTCTAGACCAATTCATCAATGATTTTTTTTCTTCAATTTTTTTTTTTAGATGTGAATAATAAAGTTGCCTATCTGAACTTGGCAAGA